TTTCTCGGTTGTTTCGCAAAATGATTCAAACATCACTGTCAAACGTGCCCGCTCGAGGCACAGTGAAAGTCACCAGCGCCATTATACTACGGAATATAAAACGCGGAAGAGCAGCTGCGGCCCTAAATCGAAAGAAAGTCGAACTGACCGGATCATGAACGCAACGAGATCTTTCAACGACGACTGACACTAATTTCCATTGCCAGATCTCATTAGAAACATTTAACAGTGTCGCTACCATCGAAAATGACAACCACGTTACGCTAATTTCGATTCAAGCCTGTATTTCAATTTAAAGTTCGAGAAACTCTCAAGTGAACTCTGACCGTAGCGCCCCGAATTTCAGCGATTTTTCGAGGGTCGATGAAACAAACATTTCCAACGATAAATGCAGAATATTGGATATATGATTGATTAAGATTTCGATTTACAAGCCACGATCTATAACGAGTTTGAAATGATCTCTTTCGAGGAACGTTGTGGACGGAGAAACTTAAGCTTAGAAGTCGTATTATAAATCTAAGTTACTTTCGGGAAGGAATTATGTCTGAGTTGTATTTAAAAAATTGTAGAATTTGCATTGAACCGAATACCCGTGTTCACGCTCGTTACTTTATTGTTCTCTTCGATGATACAGAAACGAGTATCCCACGGTTTTCTTTTCCTCGCGCGAAGATGGGTCGCGGGGTCAGCTGTCTTATTGGGGCCGAGAAACTCGCGTTATTATACCGTTTTCTCTGCCAATGTTAATCGAGAATAATTTCTTACCGATAAATCAGTCTTTCGAACAAAGCTTCGGTGAGTGGCTAAATCACTAATACATTTGAATATCTAAAAAATTGAAATACTAAATGTATAAACGCTTTATAAGTGCTTTTAAGCCCTTGTTACATGTTAATAATTTGGCCACTGTTCGATGTAAATTTCATCGAGTCCCAAATCAGATTTCTAAAGTGTAAGAATTTTAGTGATTTTCAAGATAACAACGTGACATTTAGAACCTCTTGAACTTCTCTTCGAGGAACGGTAAATCTTGCAGCAAACATGACGCGCGTGCATCCGTCGCGCAGCTTTCAGTAATCGCGCCATTTATATTCCTCCTGAATCGCTGTGCAAGTACGGAATACGTTTATTCGCCTGTATCGTCGAATATAAAATACACGTGTACCTTAATTGCTCGGTGGGTGCGTGTCGAGTGTGTCAACATTTTATATTCGACGGTTTCAACGACTTGGAATACACCAAAGTATCGAGATCGATGAAAGAAATCTGAATTTTTCACTTTTGTTAAAAAATTATTTCAAAATCAATACAGTTCGTTCATAATCGTTAGAGAATCGTTTCTTTAACGCTTTCGATACCATTTGACATGTTCGTTATTGACACTAAAACTACCAACACAATCAAAATGACCCATTCGTACGTAACTTCTAATAAAACTTTATAAAAAATTTATTCGACCGAAGCTTTGAAAATTTACCGTAATTTTAATGAACACCAATTTTCATTTTATTATATTTTATCCGCGTGTGTCTCGATTAAAAAATCCGTTCGATCACGTTCGTTTTTGTTTATTACATGCGTGACGGTGTATTCGTTTTATTAATGGATATAGTTTTGGTCGAATGAGATAATCTGTATTGGATGGTGAGGTCACAGAGTCGCTTCCGGTTCTGTGCGAACAACCACGGAAGCGATCGATCGCGCGGTGAAAGGGATCGATACGAAGCAGACCCCGAACCGGGACCGAAAGAAAGTCAAAGTGACTCTGCGCGCGACGTTCCACCGCGCATGCTCCATAGGGAGCATCTTCTCGCGCGCCTCGCGGTGCATTTCACCGGCTCGACGCGCGTCGTTTCACGCCTCCGTGACTTTTACCCACATTCTAGTCAAACGCACTTCCACGTTGCACTCGAACGCATCACCACGAAAGAAACAGTCCCGAATCACCGAATCAAGTTAATTTAACAAGAATTACCTGTAAAATATATTATCGACTAAATAAACAGCAGCCACTTGCCTTCTTTTTATGAAACTGGTGATCACAGGAAGTTTCGAGCTTTGCATGGAATATTATTATCAGACTGCGGATTTTTATGCAAATTTATATATTTATTAATAAAATTAATAAATTGAGAGCTTCGTAGAGGGTTCTTTCAACCCCTAAATACAATAATTCTTATCTTGCTTGAGTTTTTCTTATATTTTTGCATATTAAATGCATTCTATAGTTTTTTGACAATCTAAATTTCCCATAAATGCATAAATATCCGCAGTCTAATTATTATTTATTTATTTAATTCTCTTTTACCAAGCTCAAGATGGCTTCCAGTTTGCATCGTGGCTTCTAGTTTCTTAACCCTATTATTCACCGTATAATCTTTCATTTAGTAAATTTTAAATTAATTCTAGATTAAAAACTTCCCAAAATTTTGAAAATGCTTCTTCTTTATTGACTTACGAATTTTATCCCCCAACTTTCTTAACCCTATTATTCACCGTATAACCTTTTATTTAGTAAATTTTAAATTTATTCTAGATTAAAAATTTCCCAAAATTTCGAAAATCCCTCCTCTTTATTGACTCACGAATTTTGTCCACCAACTTTCTTAACCCTATTATTCACCGTATAACCTTTTATTTAGTAAATTTTAAATTAATTCTAGATTAAAAATTTCCCAAAATTTTGAAAAATGCCACTTCTTTATCGACTTACGAATTTTATGCTCGAAGATCGACGAACGTTAATAATTCAGTCGTGGTTCGTAAGACGTTGTTAATAATTTTTGGTAGAACCGGAATGTCGACAAATAGCGTCTTCGATTGATCAACGCAAGCGCGCAGAGTTCCGGAACCGACGAAAGAATTTCTGGGACAAATCGTCTGACATCTATACGAGGCTTTAAATTATATACGAGATATTTTGTAATTAATTTATGCGGGATCCCTGCATAATAATAAAAAGAAGGAACCGCAGTGACCGTGAAACCAGTTTCTCGTCGTATTTTCTAATCTACCCGGGGGGGAAAGATTGCGAAAGAACACCCGAAGAGAAAGAACCCGCGGTTCGTCTGTCCGCCAGTAGGTCAACTCATAAAGTTCCTGAGCACGCTCATAAATTATTTACAGTCCCATAATTGATCCAAAATTGTTACACGACTGTATATATATATATATATATACAGATATTTTCGTTAACAGAGAAGAGTATACACGATCGAACGATTGGAATAACTAAACCATAAATATTCACCGTTACAAAATGCAAAAGCAAAACTACAGAATTTTTTAAACTCAAAAGAGTATGGTAGTTCGAAACTTTTTGTTCGAGAATGAGAATTACGATTTATAAAATGAAAAGGTAATGTGTCTATAAATAGTAAACTAACATTGACCGACTTGTATAATCCTCTCCGCCATAAGTTCGCTTATTATAGACACGAGACGCAGGAATTCGTGTTATGGTGATTTCCCAAATTACGAAACGTTGGGTCGGTTGTACGTGCCACTGTAATTGCTTTCATCGAATCAAAGGGCCCCTGCTAATTACTGCCACGAATTAATTCACGACGAGGAGAGTCGACTTTGTGTTTTACACACATTTCGATAATCGTTCGTCTGGAAACTCGAGAGTGGAACAGAAGACTTATGTAACGAGCCTGTCTCTCGATTTACGAGGCTCTTTTAATTAATAGAATAGCCGAAACGCAGAAAGGACACTCGAAACATTTCGTAAATCAAATTCGATCTCGACACCGATTTATCGTTAGAATATTTCTTTATTCTGTTCTCGTTATCTTTTTAAATCGATGGGGTACCAAGACTTGTACTATAATTCTAAATTTTCGTTGCATGTATACACATTTTTACGTTAAAAATGTTCAGAAATATAGTTCAAGGGACGTACATTTATGTAACGACCCTATCTCTCGATTTTTAGGCTCTTTTAATTAATAGAATATACCAAAACATTTCGTAAATCAACTTCGATCTCAACACCGATTTATCATTAGAATATTTCTTTATTCTGTTCTTGTTATCTTTTTAAATCGATGGGGTACCCAAGACTGTAATATTATTCTAAATTTTCGTTGCATGTATACACATTTTTACGTTAAAAATGTTCAGAAATATAGTTCGAGGGACGTACATTTATATCAGACATTTTGTGTCAGAAGAAATGTCCAAATGTCAGTGTTTATTCGGTTTTTAAGGTGACGGACCTTAATCTTTCTCTTCAGAGGTGGAAATTAATTTTACAAATATCGTACGTTGCCCAATTGAATCGCCCAAGGGCCCAACTCTCCCCTAGTAACCGAATCCAAACGGGGGCGGCCATTTTGTAGCGGTTTCCCGCGATTACACGGCAATTAAAGTTCCGTCGATAAGGAATATTGCATAAAATGCGTAAACGATCGGTGAAAGTGAACACACTGTATAAATTTGTTTATGGAGAACAGAGGAACCCTATCTATAGACAAAAATCGTGAAATTGCGTCCAAAAACCTAAACAGTAGGAGTCACGTACGCGTGACAGCGGCCGTCAGAGCCGCGAACGAAGGAAAAAGGAAAGCGAGGAACGGTCAGAAGTCGAGCACCGTTCTTCAATGGCGGCTCGAAAGCGTTCGTTGAAGATGACGAACGGCGTTAGAAAATGTAGAAAAATCTGAAACGCGAAAACGTGTGTTAGGAACGCCTAAATGCTCATTTTACCTTCGTCGTGCCCCCCTCCAGATAATTGAGGATGTGCCGGGCGTCGGGACCCCCATATAGCGTCGCGGAGGCGAGCATGGTACCCCTCCACGGGATGTCTCTATGCTTAGGGCTAGCAGTGGCTTAGACGGAGGAACTGTTCGCTATAAAAGGCTCCGTAGCTCCGAGGAATTCGTCAGAGAAGCGACGAACCGTGAAAATAACAGGAAAAAAAACAATAAAGGCGGGCAGCCTTTTGCCGGTTTCAGTTCGTCCGCGGTGGAAACGACACCCCCTTGCCTGAGAAGATGCGGTCTAGCCTGGTCAGTGAACAAACGTAATTCTCGTCGGTTAACAGTGCACCTGTGATACTTGTGAAACCCGTGGGACGTGTGATGGTCGTCGAAACTCGAGGGAATTCGGCACAGTGGGTGGGCCAAATTACTACTCGCGCTGGAACTACGTTCGAAACACCGAATACGTGGAACTATATCTGATTAATATCGTTTTGCAATCGAAGGGTAACGAGACAAAGAGAAACTACGCATTTTTGGTCATTGTTTTTGTAAGATTCGTGGGAGTTCTCATTTTTAATGTTTTTGATATTTTGGAGTCAATTTTGAGGTGTGTTACGTATACGTATTGGTATTAGTGTAATGCAACCCCATTCCACGGGAATATGTGTTTAATTTAAAAATGTACTTCCAGCGTGTTGGAATGATAGTTTGGCCACCCTCTGTGCACGTAGCTCGACAGGTTGAATAACGCGTTGGCTGTCGCGTGACCCAGAATAGTGAATGCAACGTTCAGAGAGATGACGGAGCTTTTTGTAGCGATTTTTAGCGTAGTTTACGAACGAATCGACAATTTTTTGAATTCAATTTGATTGACTCTTAAGTGATGGTCTGATCGACCAGTCTTGACCCTTGGTTGAAGCTTAGGGCTCTTATTATACTTGTCGAGCTACCGATCGATTGTTGGTCCCGTGTTCTTACGATCCATTTCGTGGATCGTTGTCTAGATTAAAATTCTCGTGTTTCGATCTTGTAGATTTCAAATCTCCCGCCAGTTTATTCCAGTAAAGAAAGAAGAATTTATTTCGAAGAAACAAATGAGGTTTTAAAAATTAATTTTGGACCAATTGAACGATCATAAAGAATTCTTCTTTAATATAGACAGAAGACTCTATTATATTAATTTTTTTGTGCAAGTCAAGACTGGGAGACTAGAACTATCTAATTTGTATTCCAAATATTTCATCAAATTTGAATTTTTCTCCAACCAGCAAAGAAAGAAAAATTTATTTAAAAAAATCAAATGAGGTTTTAAAAATTAATTTGGACCAATTGAACGATCATAAAGAATTCATCTTTAATGTAGACAGAAGACTACCATCTAAGTTGTATTCCAAATATTTCAAATTCTAATTTTTCTCCAACCAGTAAATAAAAGGGAAAAGTTTATTTCGAAAAAACAAATAAAATTTTAAAAATTAATTTAGTCCACTCGATTATATAAATTTGCTTGAGCAAGTCAAGATTAGGAGACTAGAACTATCTAATTTGTATTCCAAATATTTCATCAAATTTGAATTTTTCTCCAACCAGTAAAGAAAGAAAAATTTATTTTGAAAAATCAAATAAGATTTTAGAAATTAATTTAGGCCAATTGAACGATACATGAAGAATTCTGTTTTAATATAGAAAGAAGACTCGATTATATTAATTTTCTTGTGCAAGTCAAGATTAGGAGATTAGAACTATCTAATTTGTATTCCAAGAGACAGAATTTTCCGAATAATCGAGCACAGTCCAGCAAACCATAAGCTCTCTGTTCTTTCCTCGAATTCGTGGCTAAAGAAGCTGTTAGGCAAAGTGTTAACGATTAATTTTCTTTTTTAGCAAAATGTCGGCCGCGAAGATTTTCTAACAGCCGTCTTAAGTAGGTATTCTTGTCGTTTCTCGGCGTGGAATGGAAAGTCGAGCATTGTGCTCGTGCCTCGAATGATCATCTCTCGTGAAACTGTACCAAGGATAATTTACACTAGCTTCCGCGTTTAACGCGAGCCAAGATTTTTCTTAGCTAACAATTTCCCAAAACTAGCGTAAATAATTCCAAGAAATTTGTCTTTCCCAATTTTCTGACCCCCCCAGAAAAAGGGGGACGTGAAATATTTCTCCCCTGAACCACTAAACCTTTAAAAAATATTTTAAATAAATCTTCCAATAATTTTCAAGCGTACAGTTTTTTTAATAATTAATAAAATGATTTACTTGTTATAAAAGTATCGAAGCGTGGGATACTTTTCCTTTTCTATCGTCAAATTAATGTCCTCGATGGGGGGGGGGGCCGCTTTCTATCGATCGATCTTTCGATCTTTCGGTACTTTCGTGGATCGACGACGATCGAGCGTAACAAGAGTATCGCGATCGAAGATAATTCCATGTTATTAAACCTGTTTGCTCGGTTCTTGATCTTGACACTGACGAGGTGTCTACGTAACGGAAGCTGAACGATCTATAACGATCACCGAACGTTCCCAGACTAAAACAAAAGGTGGAAAATATAACACACGATAATTTCCGACACACAAATATAATTCCATCTTTTTTACAGAATATAATACCTTAAACGATAGAAAAGGAAAAATTCAATTAAATTCTCCCCGAGATTAATCAAAAATATTTTCCCCAACATTTACTCGTCCTTAATTCCCCAAACGAGAATATAAAAAAAAAACCTATAAAACGTACAATTTTATTAAAATTAATTCGCTCCTAAAAAAAGGAATCCTCTCGATCGACGCGCACGCGCATTAAAAAAGTGAGTTTCTTTTCCTTAATATTCGAGACGCGATCCCGGAGGGTCTTAAAAACGTGTTTTTCCCCCGGTAAGAGAAAAAAAATTGTTTCGAAACTCGCGATTAAAATACTTTCCTTTCTTGTGTGCGCCGCGGAGGCGAAAAAAGAAAGAGGAATGGAACGAGGAACGAAATTGAGAGGCCCACTTTCGCGCGGTCCAGAGTTAACGAACGCCGCGAGAGTTTCACGATCGTCGTCTCTCCCTCGGGGCTATAAAAGAAAAAAGGGGAGCCCCCTCGACCCAATTCGCGGTGTTGTTTATGCCCGTTCGGCGGGGTTCGCACGCGGACACTTTCATTTTTGAGAGACTGGCTCGTAAAACGACAGATTCGCGCGGGATTCCACGCCTCGGGCGAAAGGTAGCCACCTGCTTATGGCAACGATGAACCTTGCCTCTTTGTCTCTCGAGTTTGCATATTCCCCGCTCGGTGGAAACTTCGATTACACGCGTAGAAATCGACGAGAACGTGAAAGGATCTGCGCAAATATTAGGATGTCCCAGAAACTATTAAGCGTTCCAAAAATCTTTGTTCGACGCCTCTTTGACCGCTGGTTGCTTTGTCCAACGCGCAATATTTCTCTGCGAGATATCGATAATCAGATACAAGACACGCGCGAAAGATTCGACGAAGCAAGTTCGCCGTGGAAAGGAAGATAACGCGAGAAGGTCGCGCGTAATATAGATGGAAATCGAGGTTTTTTTTAATTATTGGTATAATGCTCGTGTACGAGGCGCTGTTTCACTCGGCATACAACAGATCGTATCGTCGTTTACGGAATTTCTAGCGTTACCAGGCAATTACCGAGCCGCAACAAGCGTCACCTACATGACCAACGTGCCATGATCGCCTCGTTTGCATTTCTGGCCGGCATGATCGGGCCAGAAACCTTTCTTCCGGAAACCACAGTGGTCCCAAGCAAAGACGCTAACTTCGTTCAACGTTAACCCTCTGCACTCCGAATTATATTTCAATTTTGTTATCAGCGCCATAAGCGTAAAGAGTACTAGAAGAATTCAAACAGAAAGGAGAATATTACTTAAAATTGTTTATTTATTAATCACGTTTATTGAATTTAATAAAGTATTATTTATGTTAAAAGATAATTCTGGGATCTGAAATTTATTAGAACCACGTGCTAACGCAACACACATTATTCTTTTTTTAATTTCCAAGTGTATATCTCCATGGTTTGGACTTGACAAAATGTCGACTGGAACTCGACAGAGGAGTGCAAAGGGTTAAGGAAATAGATTTCTTTTCGTTAGAATTTTGTTCTTTGCGCTCGACCAATTATTGTTGAGCCACCATTATTCTGTATAGAACATCTCGACTGTAGTATCTCGTATAATCAATTGTTTTTGAGAAACAATAATTGGACTCCTTTTTCCAGCTACTGTTGGGTTGCCTCTTTCTCGTCTCCGCTTTAGGGGACCCGATAAGGACGAAGAAAGAGTAAGTAAAAGCTAGCAAGAGTTTTGGAGCCTGGAAACTATCTCTATGATTGAAATTCGTGAATTTTAGAGCTCCATTGAGCCCACCTCCGAGCCAGTATGGTCCACCATCGACCTCGTACGGAGTTCCGAATCTAGGAGGATCGTACAGTGGGCCCACTGATTCCTACGGTGCTCCTCCAGCGCCATCTAGCTCCTATGGTGCGCCATCTAGCTCTTACGGTGCCCCAGCAGCGCCCTCTAGCTCCTATGGTGCTCCAGCAGCGCCATCTAGCTCTTATGGTGCTCCAGCAGCGCCATCTAGCTCCTACGGTGCCCCGTCAGCGCCATCTAGCTCCTACGGTGCCCCGTCAGCGCCATCTAGCTCTTACGGTGCACCATCAGCTCCATCCTCCTCTTACGGTGCACCGTCAGCTCCGTCTTCATCCTACGGGGCCCCATCTGGTCACGGATCCTTAGGTGATCAAGGATACAGCAGCGGTGGTTCGTTTGGCGGCGATCACGGTGGCCACGGAGGAGGTGGAGGCGGTGGAGATCATTACAGCGGAGGGGGAGGTGGTGGTGGTCACGGATCCTTCGGTGGAGATCACTACAGCGGCGGAGGAGGCGGTGGAGGTGGTGGTGGTCACGGATCCTTCGGTGGAGATCACTACAGCGGCGGTGGAGGCGGTGGTCATGGATCCTTCGGTGGTGGAGGCGGTGGAGGGGGCTTGTCGACCTCGTACGGGGCCCCATCGCAATCCTACGGACCCCCCGCTCAGCCTCAAGGACGGTTCGAGAAGAAGCTGACGTGGAAGGCGGAGTGGAAGCAGATCTGGAAGACGGAGCAGAAGTTAGCGTGGAAGCAGGAATGGAAGAAGGTCCAGGTGCCCGTGTGGAAGGAGGTCCAGGTCCCTGCGTGGAAGGAGGTGAAGGTGCCCGCGTGGAAGAAGGTCCAGAAGCCCGTGTGGAAGGAGATCCAGGTGCCGGTGTGGAAGGAGGTCCAGGTCCCGGCGTGGAAGAAAGTTTGGAAGCCAGTGTGGAAGGAGGTGCAGGTGCCAGCGTGGAAGGAAGTCCAGGTGCCGGACTGGAAGAAGATCTGGGTGCCGGAGTGGATCAAGGTCGGGATACCGGGCGAGCAGTACGTGGGCAAGGACCAGCACGGCTGGCAGTACACCAGCCACGATCTCTGGAAGAAGAAGCTGATCTGGAAGCCGGTGTGGAAGAAGGTCTGGCGAACGGAAAAGAAGCAGGTCTGGGTCAGCGACAAGAAGCTGGAGTGGAAGGCGGAGTGGAAGCAGATCTGGAAGACGGAGAAGAAGCAGGCTTGGGTGCCCGACAAGAAGCTCGTCTGGAAGGAGGAGTCCGTGCAGGTCTGGCTGCCGGAGAAGAAGCAGATCTGGGTGACGCAGAAGAAGCAAGCATGGAAGGACGAGTGGAAGAGCAAATGGGTGCCGGTTTGGAAGGACGTGCAGGTCCCCGCGTGGAAGAAGGTCTGGAAGCCCGTCTGGGAGAAGGTCTGGGTGCAAGAGGAGCCCCACCACGACGACCACCACGGGTACAAGTAACCCGCCCGCCCACCGATCGTCTTCGATCCTCATCGTCTGAACGACAGGCCGACATCGTTGTTTGACGCGCTCGCTGCGGTGGATCTTTCTTATTTTGTTGCCGCGGGTCGGATACGCTCCGTAGTAACATTATCGAATCTCTGTCGTTGTTAAGCTTCTTTCCCGAGGATACAATAAGAATTACAATTACGGAGCTATCCTTTTAGTATGTAAGACCCGATCAAGTATGGCAGGAAACGAGGAATGGGGCCTGTTAGGTACACCCGTTGCGTACAGCAGCGAACGCGTCAAGTTTGGCAGAGTCGTCACGGAGATCAAAGGTCTTTGGGCCTTTGTATCAGAGTAATGGAGCTCGAGTTTCACGAATCCGTGGGAACAGTTATCGAACGGACCACGGAGGAGGAGAGAGTCGCAAGAGAAGCTCGAACAGGAAATAGGTTGGCGATGGACCGTAATAAACTTCCAAAAAACGAATTGGTCATCAGATTTCACATGTAAACGTAGTAATATATAGCAAGGCAATTTTTGTCGATACAGGTTAGGTCGATTAAATTTCCAAAATGGCCCTGCGTCCCCTGCACGAGGGTTACAGAGGCCTTTAGACGAGACTTGCCCCGTTTTTAATGGGAAATCGAAGTACTGCCTCTCTTCTTGCAATCAAATTGAGACACCTAGTGCAAGAAGCGAGGCAGTACGCGATTTCCATCGTGTTGTTTTGTAATTAGCTATCGCATGTAAATAACAGTTTGCAAAGGTATATTATCGATATTTTTGTACAATGTTTATGTATGTTATCGTAATAAAATATTTTTTTTTACTCATGACTGTATCATTCAACCTTCAATTTGAAATACTTTCGAGAGAACATTGTACAATATTGGAAACCACGTAACGAGAAATAAATTTCCCCGACGATTCTCTCGATGAGAGTTGAGAAGATTCACACCGATTCGGGGGGAAAAGAAAGTTATAGAAAACCCATAACTTCCATTTATTCGTTGAAAATGTTTCTTCAAGTACATTGACCTTCTGTACTACTGAGTTAGTGTGTGATTTGATCCTAAAAATTGCTAAAAAAAGCTGAACTTTGGACCGTAAAATTGCATCGGTTGAATTTAACACGGAGATTTGATGAGATTAAAAATGGTGGAAAAAAAGGCTTTCTTCCGATTTCTATGAAGAGGTCGACCGATATAAAGCCGAGGACATTAATCCCCCGCTAGATGAAAGCGCGGTTTCCGACCGCGAGTCGCGGAGAAGATGCTTTCTAGGGATAAGATGAGATTCAAGGAGAGGAGCGTGTCCCAGGGTCTTCAGGGTCGCGATGCTCGCTCACGACCTTTACTTTCTCCGTTCGCGTGGGATGAGAAGCGCCGCGGGACGTGGACGAGGACATTAGGAAGAAAACGAGACACCGGAAGTGGCACAGACGATCGCCGCTGGAGGCTCGTACGAAACGCAACCGAGGAAGAAAGTTTCGAGACCGGTGATCGGCCGAAACTGATCGATCGATCAGACTTCCCGGAGACGCGACCATAACAGAATCGAGGAACCTCTAAAATTTGTGAAATTTAATAATAAACGCGTTGACTGCCAAATTAAAACCGTAAAATTTTTTGTGAGACCAAAACTTTGACTTTGTAAAATTTTTTAAAATTTTAAAATTTGTCTCAACGCTGGATTTCGTAACCTAGCTAAAATTCATGAATTCAAATTCATTTTTTTATTCAAATTTATTTTTTTTTAACACTTCAACCTGAGAATTAATTGCTTCAGTTGCGTAGTTAAAAATCCTGTCAAAGTGTTGAATAAACTTTTCAACGAGTCGTCTTCAACCTCCAGAGAATTATATCGAGAATTTTCATATTTTATTGTAAACTTTCACCGAACGATATTTACTAATAAACTGTTCGAACAGTCTCTAGATTTGGTTTTTAACCCAAGAGTAGCTTAGTACCCAGAGGATCGATGGAGGAAGATGGCGAACAAAGTTCCGCGTAACAGGGATGCTCGTTAAATATTAATTTCTGAAGAACGATTGTTTTCGTCTTACAGAATAGAACACGTAATGAGAAGAAAGTTTTTGCATAAATTGGTTGTAAGCGTAGTTCATTACCAGAGACGTTTATTATTAACGTATTAATCGGTTAATTCAACGGGTTATGAATTCACCGATTTCTCTTCCTGCAGGACGAAATTAGAAAAGCAATAGAATTTTCTTCTGCGATTAGAAAATCATATTCGTCGTGTTTGTCATCGATCATATCGCGTTTGTATCGAGCACGCTTTGTCGAGCGCCAAATATTCAATATGGCGTCCAACGAGATAGGAGTGGCGGGAAATTTAAATTTGAATTTATCGTAAATCGAGGACCAGATGATAATTGTTGGTAGTTTTAGCGTTAAATACGATCGAGAGAAGATGGACGCGTTGTTTCTGCCTTCCTCGTTACCTCGACCTTAATAACGGAACATCGGTTCAACTACTTTCTTTACCGCGATCTCACGGTGACTTTAATTCACGATGCTCGCCGCGTGAGACAAGAAAACTGCGCTTTCGAACGTCCGCCTACAGGTGGAGGCAGCGACTGGTGTTTCGCGGGGATCTACAAAGAGATATAGAAATCGAAAGAAGAGGATTCTCATCCAATAACGCGTCTTAACCATTTGCACTCCAAATTATACTTCAATCTTGTTACCAGCTGCTCCCCAATGCTTCTAAGTGTTTTATGCGAAATTTACGTCGATTAAAAATCATTGTATTTTGTAATTTTCAAGTGTAAAAATTAAATAATAAATATAATTGAATTTTTTGTTTATAAATATTTCAATAATTAAATTTTAAAATTGAAATTTTGTAATTTTCAAGTGTAAAAATTAAATAATAAATATAATTTAAGTTTTTGTTTATAAATATTTCAATAATTAAATTTTAAAATTGAATACAATAAAATTCTTATGAAATAGTCTTTTGGTATAGAAAAAAGTTATCGAATAATAAGAAGAAATGAATTATATTTAATTTTCATATATCCAGTGAAAATTAATTCGACGTAGGAGTGCAGAGGGTTAACAGATCTTGCTTTACACGTCAGAATATCGAATAGTCGATTTGCTGTTAGTTACTTAGTTTGTTAGATAGTTAGTTAGTTATTTAGATAGTTAGTTTGTCAGTTAGTTAGTTATTTTGTCAGTTAGATAGTTAGTTTGCAGTTATTTAGTTAGTTTGTCAGTTAGTTAGCTAGTTTGCAGTTTGTTAGTTAGTTAATTAGGAGGAGGAGCGTGTATGCACAAATTGAAAGATCGATGGAGCGCTTGCGAGAAAGTCAAGAGCGTAGCCCTCTTGCGGCGACTACGAGAAGTAACGACTCTGAAAAAAGCTCTAAAAAGCTCTGAATTAACACTTCGATGAAACTTTGCATTTTAAAAAAACGGAGGCGACGAACGATAATCCGTTACTCGAAAGAAAATTCTTCCAAATTCAAAAGCGAGGATCTGTATATAATTCACCATTTCAAAGCGTTTTTACTCGCCAATATTATTGTTCGTGGAGTTTTATATATGATTAATAATCGTTCTGCCAGTTTTAGCGTTTCGATAACTTTCGATGCATACCAAATAAATTAGCAGAATGATTTTTGAAAGCGAGCTGTCGGTACGCGAGCTAACGGGCGACGGTGATTCATTTTACGACGATCGTGTAACGTCCGGATAAGTGATGCGTTATCAACGGTGTCGGGTGTAAATCACGATCGTTCGGGACCACCGTGATCGAGTGGGAATATTTACGAATAAATGGCGGCGATGGTCCTGTAGCTACAAGGTCATAAAATGTTCTTTGCTTAGGTGTTTAAACGGTGACTTCTAACGATGATAGACGATAGATTAAGCGTCCAAATTTAAAAGAAATTGTTAGGAGTTATTGGTGCAATTATTGTTTGACTTTCTACGAGCATTACAGTCTGTCTAAATCAGCAAACAAAAGCACAATAATGCACTTGGAACTGCTCTATATATTCTCACGTACGTGATCTACAAACACTTACACGGTGATCTAGCGTTACTGACACCTGTGATACGGTACTAGAACTCATCATTCGCGATTCAAACAGACAAATTGTAATTACGAACAGGAATTGTACGAATAGAATTTATAAAATTCTTAAATTTCGAATGAAATTTTAATTCAATAGAAATTATATTACAAGTCGATACCTGGACGTGTATTAAAATTTTATCGAGTTGCAAAATGTTTTAAACTCGGTGTTATTCTAATCACGGATTATTTCTAGCTACGATGGTTCTCTTTTCGATAGATTTGTCGGTTGGTCGCGTGTCCTTGCACTCTCGATCCATTCGTAGCGGATCGAAGCATCGAAAGTTGTTCATGCTTTATGTATGGCGTGCCGCTAGGACGTATACGATCACATGTATTACCCAATAGAAAGTGATTCGTTCGTTATTATGGATTTGCGGCGATTTGCGATTCACGAACATCTTCATTAACCGAATCGGGACCGATTCGTTTCGGAAATCCGAGTTCTCGTTTCGACTCGTTAATATGTATTTATTCGCTCAACGCATTAATAATCACCGTTTCTTTCGATCGGCCACGATCCACAAGGATTTATTATCCATTTATTCTCGTCTAACGATCAATTTATTAAATACCATTTTTCCTTTCTATTATAATTAATGATTGATAATTGCACGGACCTCGATTTATTAACAATTTTCACGTTTTCGCGTTTCTACGACCGATGACGCGACTCTTTGGCGACTAGAAATTATTTGGATGCCTCTTTCGAAAGTAGGATGTCGCATTTTTTTTTTTTTTCTTTTTGGTAAATCATTGGTCAATTTTCGTAGGCCGTGCAGAAGAGGCGAAAAAGTACTGCGTCATGATCCGCGTTAACGCGGCAAGGCCACTTTCACATGACTTGCCACCACGTGCACGGTGTTTCTCTGTCGATCCGTTTTTTCCACCGTCGTGGATCTCTCTTTCGTTATTAATTTTTCTCCATACTCGTTCAGATAACGGAAATATAATTTTTGCAATTTTTAATTTTAAGGGTCCCCGAATTCGCCGAGTTCCTAACCTCGAATTTCCAAAGTTCGGAGCTTCAACACATTGACTGCCACGCCACCTACATGGTGACATGGGTAACATTGTGTTTCACTAAGGAACTAAAAAGATTCATTCTCGAGATTAAATGTCAAAGAAAATAAATCTAAATACGACTGTTGAATTTTAACGAGACTTGAAAATAAGTTTTATGACAAAATTACGGTTATGCTGGTTTCCAATTGTCTACTTACGTACTTGTAAATCGTCCAAAGTGAACTGATCACGGTGACTGAGTAATGGATTTATTATACTAAGTATGGGAGTAGTATCGAGCAAGCAATTGATGGAACAGTTACGCGAGCCATCGAGCGAAAAATGGTTTATTTGCTTCTACGTCGTACGTAACGTGGAATCATCTGTAACGTGATTGAAACATGCAGGCCAATGTGTCGGTTAATGATAGCTTATGGCACCGCCTATTAGAAACGTAATTTCACCTAGATAACGCGCATCGTTGAACGCAGATCGAAACAAACTTCACTTTCGAATTTGGGATCCAAATCGAACGTCGAAAAATTATAATCTATATAGCGTAGAAAAATCAACATTTTTCTATTTCTCATTCGTTGCACAAAACTTTCATCCAGATAAGATTCGTAATATTCCTTTCGCGCACGCCACGCGGTACGTACTAGATTTTACTCGGATATTTACACGTTCGTAAACGCTAATCATTCACTCGGTAATATATTGCATCAACATACGAGGCATTGAACTTCCATTAGAAATTCTGGCGCGAAAATTATTTCTATTCGTTTCGTAATTCGTTTGTTCTGCCTGTTTCACGCGCGCCATCTTTGTTTTTCTTAACCGCTCGAAGACACTCTCGATACTTTTCAACACTTTGACTGCCCACGTCACCTATGGATGCCAGGATTTACCATTAATGAATTCTCGAAGTTAAGACGTTGAGAAAAATAAATCTGAATAAAAATTATGAATGTTAGCAAGGTTACAAGAATAAATACCAAAATAAATTTTAGGTTATGCAGCTTACAATGGTCTGAAATCAGAATGTTACGTTTGCAGAATATTACACTGTTTTGATCTGGCAGTGAACGTGTTGATCATCACTTCTATTTGCTTTGACTAATTGTCGAGGTGTCCAGACTCGAAAAAGATTGATTAATTATTCCTTCCTATTCCGTCACTTCCACACGCGTGACAACTAACGAGACGCGATTAAGCATCGAGATTTCACCGCGAGAGGGCGCATCATCGATTACAGAGTCGGTTTCACTTTCGCGTCGGACTCTTCTCGAATGCATCGGGTCTGCGTGCGCATCGGTCGTAGCTCTCCGAGAGTTCGTGCATCCGCGAACACCCCGGAAGTTCGCGAATACTTAGCTGCGTGCACGAAAACTGACTCGACGCGAACGTTACGGGGAAAGATCGGCCGGGAAAATTCGCAGAAACGCCGGAAGAGATGGCGCGCAACGACGAAATTGCACGCGGTTATATAAGCGCGTACGACGGATTTATAATCCGCGCAAACATGGGAAAATGTCTTACATACAAACGACCAGCGCGAGTTATGCATTATTAATGAGCCCCTTTCAGGGAAAGCGATCCTTTGTCTCCTTTCGAGACTGCACTTTTTTCCAGAAATCGAAGAGCTCTATCTTTCTCGATATTTACTTTTAAAAAAGAAATATGGAGGAACGCTTGAGAGAACGATCCCTCTGGTGGCGCGTAGGGGAAGTGACGACCCCATAGATTCTTACTCCAAACTCCAAGCAAAAGAAGAGCAAATCGTTTGTACATATTTTAAATCTTTCTCGATATTTACAGATCTCTGGAGTCCTCTCGAAGGGAGATAAAAGAAAAATGAGATATATAGGAACGCTTGCGAGAGAACTGTCCCTCTGGTGGCGCGTAGGGGGAGTGACGACCCCACAGATTCGTTTGTACATATTTTAATCGATCCTACAGAATATACCAATGGCGTATACGAATGTAATTTAACTATCTGTGAGATTTCGGTTACAATTTCGAAATGTATCGTTAGAGATGCTCAGATTTGGAGAGTTTGACTATGTTTGTCGCCACGAGTACGTTCTTAATTGGCTGGTCGATGCATCGAATGATAAAGTTTCACTCTCGACCCAGAAGGTTCGTCTCCGATGCATCCTCCAGCTCTCTACTCATTCGTTACAGCGGAAACGTGTACACGCTCGTTCAGATGTCGGTTTCCTTCTCGCGGCTACCCCACATCGGCCAAAGATGCGCAGCTTTTACGACCCGTGACTTTCCCGCCGTGGAAGCGGACACGAGGAACCAGGAAAGAGTCGCATGATTCCTCGCATGATCGAGTCACACGGGGAAGAGTACACGTCTGACATCGATGACCTCGCGGAACAGAAATTTCCTTTCGATCCTCCTCGTCGCTTTTATCGAAGCAGCCATTTACTCGATCTCTCATGGATCGAGAAAACACTTGCTTCGATCTTCAAAATCGTCTCTTAGAATTTTGAGATACTAATCTTTGCTAACATTTGACCTTGAATGACCTTGAGATGTTTTCCTTTATTTTCTCGTTAAACTAACACGTAAACGCACATTTTCGTTTATATGAAACTTGTGCAGTTTCACGTGCTCTACACGGTAGAATGGTTTTTTTTTTTGAGAATTTTTTTTTTTGTATTTTCTCTCGCGATCGATCAATAACGATTTATCGATAATTTATCGAAATAATGGAGCTCGTAGGCGTGCAAAGCTGTTTCTTTTTCTCCGTGTGATCAATTATACATGCGTATCTACGGTCGCGATGAAATCTACTGATATTATGGTGGACGTATCCGTGCAACGATGGCGGAGCAAATGTCGAGGGTCAGCGAGAAATTCCACCGTGGGCTGGAAAATTTATGCCCGTTTGTTAATTTATGTACCTTGTAAGACGTTCCCGAGTCTATTAAGTATACGCTGGTCCGGGTTCTGCTTAATTAACGAGATTAACGACGAGGACACCCGTGTTACGCTCGAATTTAATCTCTTGCATACCCGTGAAAGTTCTCTGTAATCGAAGATGCTCTTATGATACTACAACTAGGAGGTAAATTCGATTTTACGACTCAGACTTCGATGAATGCTTGAACTTCTAAGGATTTTTACGCCCCCGTTCGACGCCATGTTTGTGGCACTGATTAAGCTTTATTCAACTATATTTGGAATAATAAGAGAAGAACGAGCTTCCTGCTCTCTGAGAACATTCGCGAGACTGTTACAATGTGAGAAAGTTAACGACAACTCGCTTGTCTTGACGATTAGCGCATTCTGACGCTCTCTTTGACAATTACGTTTCACGCCTGACGCGCATCGTTCCTTTGTTCGTACCGACGCCATTTTCTTTCTTTGAGGAGAAAAAAACAGCTCGAGACGCGCCTAGGATTCCATAAAGATCGGTACATCCGGTTTTTATTTATAACAAATGCAATGATAACGAACCTAACGCCATTTTTTGAGGGGTTAAGGAACAACTTTTCAAAAAGGAATTGGAAATTCTAAATATTAATTTAATTTAAATATTCTCCGCTAAAACACGCGTTGACTGCACTTCGACACATTAAGATTCTTCAATTCGTACAGAAATTATGATTTTTTTAAACATACTTCCGGTCACCGATTATATTTTCAGTAAAGAATTTTTTTCTCGAAAGTGCGTAGGATTTCGGGGGTGGGTGTATTCACAAAAAATGATTGTGATTGACCCCTGCGATCAAAAATAATTTTTTTAGAACGATTTGAAATTTTTTTTTTCGTCGAAAAATTTCAAACCTTCTCGAATTTTTTTCTAGGAAATGAGTAGGATTTCGGGGGTATGTCTATTCACCAAAAGTGATTGTAATTGACCTTCGCAACCGAGAGTAATTTTTTCAAAACGATTGGAAATTTTTTTTTTCGTCGAAAAATTTCAAACCTTCTCGAATTTTTTTCTAGAAAATGGGCAAGATTTCGAGGGTATGTCTATTCACCAAAAATGATTATAATTGATCCCTACAACCGAAAATAATTTTTCCAAAACGATTTGAAATCTTTTTTTTCCGCCGAAAAATGTCACACCTTCTCGAATTTTTTTCTAGAAAGTGGGTAAGATTTCGAGGGTATGTCTATTCACCAAAAATATTTGTAATTGACCCTTCCAACTAAAAATATTTTTTTTAGAACGATTTGAAACTTTCGAATTTCGTCGAAAAATTTGACTACCTTCTCGAATTTTTTTCTAGAAAGTGGGTACGATTTCGAGGGTATGTCTATTCACCCAAAATGATTGTACTTGACCCCTCCAACTAAAAATAATTTTTCCAGAACGATTTGAAATTCTTTTTTTTCCTGGATCTTTTATCCTAATCGATGGATCCTTGATTAATCTAAAACCTATTCAACAGCATGATGTCCGGCGTCAAACAGATCTTTGTCTCCCGGTTAAACTAACGAACTGGCCACTTTCTCTATCGATTAATAAATATGACGCCATAATTTCTAAATCGTCCCATTGTAACTTCGAAATCCTTTCACCATGGGATACCGAATTAATTTTTCTTCTCCCTTAATCCGACCATCGATGTTCTCAAACGTCAAGGAAATTAGAGGACAGGGTCTTGATCGAGGTCTGGGTTAGGTAATGTTCCGGAACAAATTTGCGAGCAACAGCCTTAGCCGTACCTTTCACCGACGCGCCTACTTATTAATAGCAAACGATCCGTCCCGGTTTCAGAAGGCGTTACGATCCGTAATGGAATGACGAGATAGACCGAAGTCCACAGTGAGGCTGTTACATCAATTGCCCACTGTACCATGGTACTCGTTACTTTCACTTGAACTTCAGCTCTTCGAGGCTAACGTATATTCCGAAGGATCCATTTTCACATTACAGAAAGTCACGACTCTTAATTCCATGATATCGAACGCCATGACACTCGTGTTTAACACGTTGACTGCCAAGACCAGTTCCTCAAATTGTCCACGAAAGGGATACTCTTCTTTGGATAATTGGAAACTATCCACAATTTGTCACAGAACTTATATTTCCTTTCACAATAATTTTTTTAGCTGATCGATGAGAATTCATGTCACCCATATATGGCAGACGTGGCAGTCAATGTGTTAAACAATTTATAGAGAATAATTTGACTCCCACTGCAAGATATACAGTTGCTTTGATCCAAAGAAAGGGATCGAAGATGGCGTCGCGTGAAAACGAACCTTAATCGGTGTTCTGCTCTCACATGCAAGCCAACGTGGCCACATGCCCAAGTGAATTCGGTATAACGAACGAAAAGACGCTAATTGCACGCTAAGCAGTCGCTTGAGTAACACTCCGGGACGTTGGGCACAGGCTACCATCGAAATGGCACAATAATTGCGTAGGAAGCGTGTCCATAAATCGCCATGACACTTTCGCGGAAGTACACCAGCGAAAATAAAAGATCGTCGATGCAAATAACATTTTTGTCTCGGCGGTTCTTTTCTAGAAACTCATGTCGCGTTTATATCTAGCGTTCCGTATACAGTCGGTCACAAAAACTATCACCAAGAGGCAAATAATCGGCAAAATCTAAAAAAAAAAAAAGGAAATCAAATACTAGAGAAAAATATTAGAGTTTCAACTATATAACAAAAATACATTTTCGATCTATTTCGATAGTACTGTTCCTTATGGGGCACCATGTATATAGATAACAGGTTACGAAAGTTCATAATAGATAGTGCTTTCCCTTCGACGACTCCTATCATACTGGCGTAGCAACGAAGAATTTTTCATCTTTTAATAAAACCTTGTACGGAGACTTTTTCGATCGACTATAATAGAAATTGACGATTAACGAGGGTTTAAGTATAAATGGTTATCGCGACACGCGTTATTTGGGATCATCTGATAGCTGTATCGTGCCGATTTACGCGTGGTTTAATTGGCGAAAACGTAGGTGCTAATTGTCAATGGATGGCGAGCAGTAACGATTAGGTAACGCGATAACGTTTGTTTATATGGGCATGGGAACGTGAGTAGACGCGCGTACGTGTGTTTCGACGCCAGGTTGGAAATCTCTTTGGGCGCCTTTCACTCGAACGACGGCACGCGGGCAAAAAACAGAAAACAAACAGACGGTTCCCCCGGGCAAAGGAACCTAACGATACCCCGTGATTAATACAATTTATGCTAGTTAAGT